GGGTACAGCAAATGCCAGTTGCCTGTCACTGCACTAGATACTTATAGTAATCACAAAGAAAGAACATTTTTATGATATTAGTTACTGGTAAATAAATACAACTAAAAAGTGTAACTATGCAGAGAACTCAATTGGTGTTTAGGTCCAGAATTCATTATCATTTTGATAGATGAGCCTAAATAATCAACACATTAATAATTCATACAATTTTCATTATGCATGCCTGAATACTTCATCAACCTGGTGCCAGTCCATAAACAATGGAGTTCTTTTATTAGCAGTAGGCCTGAGTTTACGCTTGTTAATCTGCGACTTGTGTTGTTTTATCAAACATTCATTTAGTCGGTGGCCTGGTGCTTCGCTGCAGCCGTTTTAGCCACTGCGGTTGTTAATGGCTTCAGCAGTGGCCATCATTAGGGACTTGCATATTACAAACACAATTAAGTCCCTGYTGGACACTTTTATTGTTGTGTAAGGGCCCTGGATTTGACAAGTGCAAACACACAGCCTTCACAGCGAGTTATGGGGCTTTCTCCTGAGCTCGCTGCAGCTTAGGCCCGCTCTCCTCGCCTCCCACAGGAGAGAGGAGCTGCAGCATTTTGATCCTCTTAAGCCCTGACACTTTAACTAATCGACCTATCCAGTGTTGCTCATCTGAATCCCTCTGTTCGAACAGGATATACCTTCTGTTCATTTAATAACATAATTTGCAATCCCAAAAACTGCATTTTGTTAGCCGAGTACRGGACAGCTAGGTTCATCTTTGATTTGACGTGTCTTTGCAGAATTAATTGTTCCTCCTTTCAGTTAATTAAGAAAGGCCCAGCAKTTCAGCACACATGCCTTATGTGCATTATGTTCAATGATCACACATGCAAACTCAGCAGTGACCTAAAGGGTGTGTGTGTCTAGCTATCACTTTCCACACTTAATGGCCAACCTTTTAGATTTAATCCCAAAGACAATGGCATATAGAATGAACTATTTTGCTTTTTAAATTGTTGAGAAGTTAATATCTGCAAATAGGTTTAATTTGTTTGTTTTCCTTATGTTTTATCTTTTTTTTTACAGCACACTGTGGTCAGTTGTCATGCATTCATCRGGATCCACTTGTTTCTTTCTAACCTCTCCATGCTGTATCACAGCACCTTATTTAAGTTGTGCAAACTACACGGCATTGGGTTTAACAAAAAGGTAAAACTTCCAGATTTCTATGTGTTTTGTGTATTTGCATTCACAAAATTGAGCTTACTGAATAAATAAGGGGAACTTTGATTGCACTTATCAATTTAGCTGCTTCATTTTCACTGTTCAAAGATGTCTGCTTGTTGATTTAAGTACCTAACTCGCTCTGTGCAGAAAGAACTATTTYAAAGTGAGGTTGGACTTCTTTTAGGCAGAGGTTGTGACATTGTTATTTTTAAGTGAGAAACATCTAAGTCCTAAAGTAGACATATCATGCTTTTAAATCCCTCTTTTTCACATTTAAACCATTTGACAAAATTGTAGTTGGTAAGTCCTGACCTTATTTGGCAATCCTGTTGCAAATAATTTGACGTAATAGTTCAGAAAACGTCATAGAAAATAGAAAAAAACTGAACAGGTTGAAAATATGAACCAAACAAAATATAAAGATATTTACACAGCATTGCAAGAGACTGAATCCATTTTTTCTGTACTCCTAGAGACTCCAAGTTCACGACAAAATGCATTTAATGGCTAAAAATGTGGATTTTGCATGTTATGTTACCCTTCAGCCATTTTATTGTAACCTGGATGTGTTCTGAGCTCTACTTTTAACTAAATGTTTGTGAATTGCTTTTCAGCAGAAGCAAGGCACTATTTTTACTTTTTTATGACAGCAGTGAGCGATGTAGCATTGGTATGATGTAAGTACTTCTTATTTCTTTCACATTTTTCACATAAAAACATATTTTTCGAATCATTCAGATTTGAGTGATAGAAAATCAGTGCTTTAATGTGACTTTGGGAAAGGTGTTAGAATCTAACCTTGTGACATTTACATAAAAGTCAAAAACTATATATATTTTTTTACTTTTAGATCCTTGCATTCATTTTCATGCCACTGTACACCCAGTTAGTGTCAAACCCAAAGTAAAGTTATCCTCCAGGCACAAGTTTCAAAACATTTAATTTGATTTTGTTTTACCAGAACTACAAAGAATTATAGATAAGTGAGAAGTTTAGCAATGCTGGAAGTAAAAACCATTCTTTACGAGATTAAAATGCCACCTCTGGTTTTGTAAATTTTAGAAACTCCACAAGTTGTTAAACAGAGGGTTATTTAATATATTTATCACAGAAATCCTTTAGCTTACACAGCTCTGGAACAGTTAAATCACGCTGTGCTCATCCCCCTATAGACTGAAAATGTGATCTGCTGAAAGTTTCATTTACCCACCAGCATCAAATGAACAAGGTGATTGTTTCTTAGCGGGCAACAAGGGGATCATTAGTAAACTCATTTGTTTGGAATGTTGTTAATAGAACGATCTCAGAGGATCTCCAGGGAGCTCTGGTGACCTTTGCTCAGAATCTGTCAGTCATTCATCAGCAAATATCATCCTCTAAAATGCAAGGAGAAACCAATTTCAAGGTACTGTGTTAAAGGTTTAACAGCTCCCTCTCTGTGCTATGAAACCTGCTTTTTGTTAAACTGCTTTGAGTGAAATATGTAACTTCATATGTTACTAACAAATTAATTCTTATTCAGATTTCTGTGTGGTACTTCATTGTTTACTATGTTATTATTTGCTGTAGGAGCTGATGAAGAACATAGAAGATGTGCTGCAGATCAAAATTTGTAACAAGACCCAACTGAAGGATGAACCTGCTGAATAGACTGCTGCTTCACTAGTGAAGTTGCCATTACCAAATAAATAGCAAATATAAATAAGTTGATGCAGGCTTAAAGAGCATAACTCTCAGGCATGAATCTTTAAAACTCCCAGCAGTTTTAATATATGATAAGACAGTATGGTTTTATCTAATTATGCTTGGTTTGTGATTTCAAATTACAAACTACAAATATAATGTTAGTGTAGATTACCATGAGTGTGTTGTTTAGTGACAATAGTTTAGTAATGTTTTTTTTTGCGCTAAGGGAAAATATTTGACATTCAATGAAGAAATGACAAAAATAGTCTGTAGTTTTATTCTTAAAGTAGTATTTATGTATATAGATAATAAAAAGATTATTCTTGACATTTACAGGATATATATTTTTATAATGTTTTTAAACTGTGTACGATAGATAGATAGATAGATAGATAGATAGATAGATAGATAGATAGATAGATAGATAGATAGATAGATAGATAGATAGATAGATAGATAGAT